GCTTGTAATCAGCATTCTCATGAGCTGCTGTGCCAATGAGGGAATTGGATCAGCTATGGGAATAGGTGGTAGGTATACATGATGATACTGGCATAATTGAGGCTATCTGAATGAAGATAATGGAAAAATTGTGAAAGAAGATAGATATATGAGACAGGAGGATACCTTGTATTTCGAATGAGGACTTTGTGTAGGGGATGAAATGAGTTGACTTCGGCAGATCAGACATGAAGTACTTATGATGGCCAGGCTGGAGGATTGGCGGGTTCGCGGAGTTGAAACGACGCAAGATTTTGGAAATTGTCATTTCAGCTTGAGGTGGTGAAGAGTGGAGACATTCTTAAAAGGAAAAAGAATTGCAGGTGATGGAGGAAGTGGAAATAATGGGCAATAGGCGGTTGTTTTGAGAGAGATTGTGGAGAATGAGAGGGCGCTGAGATAAAGGAGTAATCTGTGGAGATGTACGATGGCGCTAGAGGTATGCGGGGTGGGGATGATTGACGTAATAGTAGTAGTTGCATAATCTGGAATTCTGCTTCTGGGCAGTTGCAATAAAGGAGAAATTATGTGCCAAGGATTAGGAGAAGATTGTGATGATTGCATAGTAATTGGAGACGCAAACCAAGGAAAAATTATCGTCTTTGGGAAGTAGACATCTCTAGCTAATAAGGAATTTTTGTGTAGAGAGGGTATTATGATTTATAAACTTCTTTGCCATGAGGAATCCCATAAAAACACACTTTTGGGCCTAATGACGTGATGAATTTTCCTTTTGGTAACGTTGGTTTCGTAGTCCTGGCAACCAAATTCGCAGTGATCAATGTGTGGGAGGTGGCCTTGTTGTGAGGAGTTTTCAATAATGGTGATTGATTAGTACAGAGAGGGAGTTTGGAGAAGCCGTAAATTAAATATAACTTAAGAATCGTTCCCCCAGAATTTAAGAGGTGATGTGATGAAAAATAAAAACGTGCGACATTTAGTATGTGAGATGCTATGCGTTCTGACTACTCCGTTTATGTTGTGGAGTAAAATAAACACATGGTATTTTGGAACTCGTAGTGCTTGATTGAGAAGGAAATTGTTGTAAGGCTTGACTTCACTCCATTTTCTGTTGCGACATGATTTTTAACGGAAGATGTTTAATTGTGTTTTTTTTAGACTGAATAGATTTGATGAGTAAGTCGTATGTTTCTAATTTTTTGGTTTCATATGGAAGAAAAAACGCAAGTAATCACGAGTAATGTCAACTTGGTGAGAAATAAAACGGCCAGCAGATGCGTAAGTGAAATTTATGAGGTCCCCATTAAACATCAACAGTGGTAAATAAATTCAAATTGGATTTTAGTTGTGATAGAACTAATTGGAAAAGCAATACTCGTTTTTTGCATGAGAGGAACATACTAATTAATTGTTGAAATGAGACTGTTTTCCTCGTTGTAATTAAATTGGTAAATAGAGAGGGAAAGTAATATTTGAAGTGAGAAAAAAGAACATGTCCGAAGGCGTGAATGGCCAGAGAAGGGACTATTTGAGACTTAGGAGAAGCCTGGAGAATGTGAATCTGCATCATGTAAAAGAGGTCCCACCGATGTTGTTTACCTCAAATCATCTTCCTCCGTCGTTAAGTCCAGGCAAAATAACATGAGTCCAAGGAAAAAGGGTGACAGAACAATAAGATCTTTGTGAATTTGCTGGCTGATATTAAGTTTAAAAAACGAAAAGTGGTAGCATAGACAGTTGTTTGAGTGTTATACTCGATGAAAACAGTGCCAGTGTGTTGGTAATCGGCGCAAGATGTGCCTGTTTGGTAAAATTTTACTTGTGAGAGAAGATTGGTTGACTATGGAAAGAGAAAGGGTGCGACGTTCAATGGTGTAATCGGGTGGCACCCAATATCTAAAATCAGAAGTTGGTAAAAAATAGAAATGACATGCAGATATGAATGTTGAAACAAACTGCTCGTTGCAAAAATAAATCACTATTGACAGAAGAGGAATTCTGATTACAATGGTAGATATGCATTGGCCAATTGTTGTAAAGATATTCGTGCGGAAAACCCTGAGGAATTGGTCAACATCATTGATTGAATATTCTTGCATATTGCCGCAATTGTGGTTGCCTTCGTGAAATCCATCGATTCTGTTGCGTGAGTGGTACACCGCGCTTTATTGTTTTTTCAGCTACATAGCGATTTCGTTGTCGCTTTATGTCACAGTCGAAGTTTTGCAGTGATAATTTTAAAGTTTGCATTCTCAATTGTGTGACCAAACGATGGCATGATAATCGTTATTGTTATTTTTGATCCTGGAATGCTGCTCTGGATATTTCGGCGGCAATGGTGAAGCTCTCAAGCGGGGTTTCTGATGACAATTGTCTCTGGGTCTCCTTCTTGAAGTTACCAGGCGAAACGCGTGTCGTACGTTGGGTAAGTGGTGTCATCTATGAGGAATCTTTACCTTACCCCTTGATATGATTCATTGCAAGACCCATATAGAACTGCATAACGTGTTGCCTCGTGAAGTTGTCCTGATGTCTTGGCATGATTAAAGTGTAGGGATCTCGAAGTATATTTTCGAGTCATGTCGCCATAAAGCTTTGGGGAGTTTTGGTTATTACGATATAGAGAGCTATTACATAAGTAGCCTTTGTGAGATGTTGTTAAAATTTGTGAATTTGGAATATTGCCTGGTGCATTTCTTTGGGAAAAATTGAATCTTGAAGTTGGTCCAAACTGTGGGGTATGCAACATGTTTTTGGCATGAATGAACACCGTTCTGCCAGTTCTGCTTTCAACCAGAATGAGTCAGCGCAAGAAAGTATTAGGCTTTGGATGTGATTTAACACAATGGAGTTCCGTTGTTTGTCTTCTTGGGGGACGGCTTCTAGCGACCATTCGATGAACCAATTGTTCTTCCAGTATAAGAGCGTGAAACATAGCCTTACTCCAATGATCGATACTATCTCCATTTAATTAACTGGCTACGAATGTGACAGGTGATCTGATGATGAACGTATAAGGATCGAAGGATCATATTACAAGCATTTTTGGATGATTCCATGTTACGGCTTTTGGTGATAACGTTGCCCATTGTTGACTATGAAGAAAGAAACCGAAGGCTTTAAGGACCAGGAAAGTTGTGCATGATAGCTCTAAAATAAAGAAAAAGCGATAAGATTTACAGGTGTTGTTTGGTTTCATTAGAAAACTGCATAATTTATAGCGAGTACACAGTATCAATCTATCATAATTAAGACTATCCAATCGCGGTAATTAAGCTATGGTCAATCTTATCAATCTCATCCTATAATTAAGCTATCTCATCCTGTAATTAAGCTATGTCAATCTCGTATTTATAGAAAGGATATACAATGACAGATGGTAAAGTTAATTACAATTAACTGATTAATATTTTCCTTAATAAAAAGAAGAGCAATCAGACGACGAAGAACTCAGGGTGGCCGTAGAGGTTTCTTATTCTTCTAGCTAGTTTTAATTTTTCTTTTCTATGAATGTACTTTTCCTGATTGAAATAAGAAGTTTCGTGTGTGGAGCCTTATCAATACAATAATCACAGTTACTGTTCTCTCTCTATCTAATTCTTCTGTTCTTATTTTCTCGCTTCTATCTTCACTTTCCTTCATTTTCTTGGTTACCAATCAATTTAGTTTTACATGAGCTCCAGATGTAGCAATTGGATTATGACTTAAGAGAAATTAATTTTTTTCATAGCTGGCTGCTGCCATTTTTCTTTCTTAGCTGCTTTGGTAATCTTTGGTCAAATGAACTAACGAAGGAATATCAATTGCCAAACTACTTTTAATACTTTTTATTGTACAAAATCAATTATTATAGAGCTAAGACTTTTTTTTTCAATATTTATAAAGAGTAAATATTTAATATCTAAATCCATTATTTATTAAGAGAGCGAGATTCGAACCAGATATATTGTCAGAGTAAATATATATTGACCAATAAACTACGTAGACTTTGCATGCAAATAATCAAATTATTGGAATTAAATATAATTGCCAATTTAGCAAATTTTAATTAATGGATCAATACAAGGGTAATAAAATAATCCATTTTTAGTTATAATATAAGATTAATAGGCTGTAAAAATAGTAAATATTTTTATTATTGTAAAATAATATGGGGATATAAATCAAATGACCTAATTTACCTCTAGCCATTGATTTTTTTTTTTTTTTAATACATACACATGACTGGAATCACATCAGAAGTTCTTATAGAAGTTTCCTTCAAAAAAAGAAAATTCTTAAAAAAGTTTACACAACCACCAACCCGTTGTCTTTTCTTTGTCCATAGAATATAGAATTAATTAATAACGTACCCCAAGTTGCCCTTTATTTTTTTTTTTGTTCTTTAAATTACCTTCCTTTCACGTCATCAAGATGCTGAAGAGTTCTCACCCAAAAATTGGGGGAGAATTTGTCCATTCAGGTAAATTTTTAATTTAGAATTTTTATAAAATTAAATAAATATTAAAGAGTTAATTACAAATTAAATCCGTTTGATGGAATTTCTAGTGGTTTAATTTCAATTGTTTTACTAAAATTTTCTAGTTTCAATACGAAAATCAAAATTTTAATTTAAATAAATATATGACTACGCAATATATTTTTCTTCTCTTAACTTTCTAAATTTTCACTTCAATCATTTTTTGTCAATTTTTTTATTTATACATGTGTTCTCTTTTTTCCTCGGTCTATATGACTCTGACTGTATCTAATTAAGCACTGCACAGCTTATAAAAGGAGCCTGACAATTTTCATAACAGGATTATATGCAAATAATAAATATATATCTCCATAGAAGGAATTCTGAGAGAGAGTCAAGGAAGGTGAATTTAATTTTAAGTATCATCCTTCCAATTTCCATCACCATAACCATTATTAACTGAAATTAAGCCAATTTTTGAATTATCCCATACACTTCACAGTTTACAGTCCCTCATCCTTGATATACAAATACAAAATAACCACAAAAAGGCAAAATGACTATTTTCACTTGCAACTTTATCACTTCAATTAATTACAAACCATTTCTCTGTCACATTCCCACTCCACTTCTCTGGCTGCTACTGTTCCTGCCACTAGGTCACAATTCGAGCCAACCTCCACATCTTCCTGACTCTTCTTCTTTTCCAGGTAACAGTACAATTCATCTCTTAAATCCTTAACTTTTGAAACATACGTTTATGTATAAGCAAAATGTTTTCTTGACTGTGCATTCATGTTTATCTGTTGCTTTGGTTTGTTCCCCTGTCTTTTCCCTTTCTGGGTATTTGGGTTTTGTGGTTTTTAGCTATTAGCATCTGATCATATCTGCTTCTGTCTTTGATTTTACTGGGATGTGCTTTATGTTTAGTGGTTAGTTCTCTCTTGGATTGATTTTGTAGATTTGATTAAGCTGATCAATTTTATGTAAGAGAAAGAGATCTGTAACTGTAATTAGAGTGCCATCTGGGAAACTGCAAATGGACTGAGATGGAAATTTGAAATACTTTTAAGAATTAGAATTTAAATTATTTACTATTTCAAATTTCTATAATTTCTATTGTAGACACTTGATGATTGTAAATTTGCTTGTATTTTCTCTTGTTTTTCTAAAAGCTGATTCTTTTGTTGATGTAATTACACTAGTTCTTAATTTCTTTGCCTTTTACAAACCATGTCTTCTATTTGAAAGCTAATGCTTGTCGGGTTCAGTCGCAGATATGGATGGTTGTCCAGGTCCGAGTTTGTTTCCATTGCACCGCTGCAAAACTATTCACCTGGTTGGTATTAAATTTGTTTTTCAAATTATTTTCTGTGTCCATTGTAAATATGAAGCCGCTACATATTTGGTCTGAAGGATGTCCAAGATTGCCTTCTTTCTTGGCTTTTGCTCGCAAATCAACACATTCTGGTCTTATAAAACCATACATCCAGGTGAGGCATGCACAAGGGATGCACAATGTAGAGGGAGATAAGAACTTCAAAGCATACTTGTCTCCCGAATATTTTGATGCACAACTTACTCAACTGGGTTGGCAGCAGGTAAGACAAAAGCCTTTCGCATTTGCTTATGCAAAATGTTTTATGAATGAAAAGCTCAGTTGGTGTTCCTATTCCAGCCAAGAGCAGAGTTCTGGACTCGCTACAGGCGAAATCTGATGCAATTCCTTTTCTGATTCCGTAGGTTGATCATTTGCGTAAGCATGTCCGCGCATGTGGGCTATCCAAGAAGATTGACTTGGTTATCACGTCTCCTTTGCTAAGGTTCTTAAGTTGGCATCTTATGCTCCTATTGATTGCATTTTTTGTTAAATTTTCATTCCTTAAACAGCATAGGCAGGGGCGGATCTTCATGGTTAGTTAACATGTCTTCTGATTAGCATAAATTCAACATTTTGTTAAGTTCAAGTCTTGAAATTTCATATTGTATTGGAAGAAAGAAGTCTTATTGCTCTTAATGCAGCAAAAGTTATGTAATTGCATTGGTCTAGAAATTTCTATTATGTTACTTTGGATATATGGAATTTTTATTAATGATAAATGCCATTTGTTTCTTGTCAAATTCAAATGTTTATATATTCCTAGTTTTGTTGTGCTTTTACTGTTTAATGAGATCAGGCATTTGCATACTTGTATCCAGCTAAAAGCAATATACATCTCTATTTATTACTTGTATTCCACTTAGTGGAACACATTCAATTGATGCCATTGCTTTTTAATGCATGCAAGTGCACAAACAGCATTTCCACTGATACATATTGTTTTGATTGTTGGTCATTCACCTCTAATTTATCTGGCTATAAATATTCAGCCACTCTGATGATAGACTGCATTGCAATGTGAGACTTAATTTGACATCTTTTATCTCATGAAAAAATTCCCAATTTCTTGTCTTTGTTTGATTTATTTATGCTTCTGACAGTTTTCTGAATTTCATCATAAATTCAAAGTGGCGACTTTATAATTGATATAATCATGCTAAACAAGGCTGTTTAACACTTTGTTAGTTAGTTATGTTTGGCCAAAATGCCTGGAGTTTACATCATATTGATTTTTATGATTGTTCACTTGAAACACAAATCCATTTCAAAAACACACTGATCCAAATTGGTGATTGGAAAATTTATTTTGTTCATATTTGATTGAATGCTCTAAAAAACTTTTGTAAGATGTTCTGTCTCTAAGCAATGATCAGTATGACTTTTAGGACATTGCAAACAGCTGTTGGAGTCTTCGGTGGTGAGGGCTATACAGATAGGGTGGATGCACTGCCGCTGATGGTGGCAAATGCTGGAAACAGTGGTCGACCTGCAATTTCAAGCCTCAATTCCCCACCTTTCATTGCTGTAGAACTTTGTCGAGAACATATTGTACGTCTTCTATACGTTTTTTTTTTTTTTTTCCCCATGTAATTTTAAGGAGCATTTTAACAAATTTCTAAATTGCTTCATAATTTAGTTCTAGTCCAGGATAAACCTTTCGATCATCCTGGGAAATTAAGAATTTTTTCATCGAGTTTTAAGTTTCTTTACTGTATCTAAAGGAAATAGTTATAGACAAAAAATTGGAGGTTGACCTTGATCTCAATCCGTTTATCTTTATGCATAAAAGTTCTCATTGGCTCCTTTTTTTAATCATAATGGTTTCCTTCTCTCTCTCACGTCTCTCAGTGAGGGAAATGTTATAATACATTGGTAACATTAATTCTTGCCTTTGGATTCCAGAAACAGAGTCTTTCTTAGTTATCTTACATGTCATATTGGTTTGCAGGGTGTGCATCCTTGTGACAAGAGGCGAAACATCAGCGACTATCAATTTCTTTTCCCTGCAATTGATTTTTCATTGGCAAGTACTTGGATACTTGAAATAAGTTATGAACTCTAAAACGATACTATCTTTGGCAGTGGCAGTAGCTGTGGCTGCTCCAAGTCAGGCTAAACCGTAGTTACCGTCTAGTTTATCCTGGTAAATGATCTTTTTAAGTTGCTTCTCAGATAGAAACTGATGAGGACGTATTGTGGAAGGCCAATGTCAGAGAGACAGTGGAAGAACTTACTGCCAGGGGACTGAAGTTCTTGAGCTGGTAAATGCTTGCCCACATTGATAGAGCTCTAGGTGTTTTCTTTTTTTAAAAAAAATAAAAAATCTCACAACCTTCTAGATTCTCGTCATCACAAGAACGAAGTAAAAGTTTGACATCATTCATAAGTCAATAGTTTTTCAACAGGCGTGTGCAGTCACAAATTTATGTTAATTTTAGATGTAAAACTTATGAATTATACAGCAAACTCTTAACGGTTGAAAAAGAAAAGGTTATATGCACTTACATTTTACTTTTAGGTAAATATTTTGCACCTTGGGACTGAACAATTCAGTTTGCAGGTTGTGGACAAGGAAAGAGAAAGAGATAGCAATAGTTACTCACAGTGGGTTCTTGTCTCATACCTTAAGTGCATTTGGAAATGACTGCAACCCATTGGTGAAAAAAGAAATAAGCACTAGGTAAGTGTCTGCGAGGGGAAAGCTACTCCCGTTGTATCAACTGTTAGCTTCTCAGCGGCCAAAGCATTCTTCATATTTTGTTTTTAAGATTTACTGACTAGAATTTACTCCCTTCTTTCAGTATACTTCACCAAAATTGGATTGGTAAATTTTTTTTTTTCTATTCCAGTTTGGGGCTGAAAAGGGGAAGGGCCTTTTTTTCTATTCTTTTCTTTTTCCCCAATAATGCTTGTGCTGAAAGCCCTAATGCTATTTTTTCCTTTATCACTAATATTATAAGTTCAATTGTGTTTTTGGTCTACCTATCATGAAGCTGCAAATACTTATTGCATTTACTTGCAGATTCGCGAACTGTGAGCTTCGATCCATGGTCATTGTTGACAGAAGGTTAGTTTGTAAGCTTTCATAAAACATATAGAGCATTCCTGTTGACTAGTTCCTGATTTTCAAAAACCTGATTCTTCTTTCAGTATGATTGGATCTGATCCCCCAACAACCAACTATCCTGGAAAGATTCCTTATGGACCAGATCTCCCTAGCGATGTTCCGGAGGAAGATGGACCCAAAACAAAATGAAGGGATTGAAATTGATTTGAGCATTCAAAATTTTATCATTGGCATTCTTGGAAAACTATGGCTACTGTACGCTTCAATATTTTACATACATTCACAACCCAGATGCACTCCTAAACAGAATTGTGCCAATTAGATCAAATATAAACAGCATGTTTGACAAGAAAACTGGGAGAAATTCTGAACTGACATGATGCCGTGAAGTTTGAACTTATTAAGGCTGTTTTTTTTTTTTTTTTCCGGTTTTCCGTATTTTTCACGTCTCCTCCCAACCTCAATATCATGAGAATTTGAACATGGGAACTCTTAAAGAAAATTAATTTTCACCTTTGGAGTTTGCTGTTAAATCAGTTTACTGTTTAGACCAATGACCACGAATACCTTTTAAGGCCAAATATTCTTTTCTACCATGATGCAATATGCATCATGATATTACGACACACACATTTTTCTGCTACCACTTCTCATTGTAAGTTATAGATATTCAAGACACCATGAAAGATAGTATCATGTTCTAAAATTTTACCAAGATGTTACTCCAAGGTGCCTCTGTGTTACCACCAATCTTTTAACGTCTCTGCTGCTCAGAATATCAAACATTACAGGACAAATTGTTAGCAAGTTATTGTCAAATTGAGTAGAAAATGATGAGAAATGATTAGTACCCATTTATGAAGCTTGATTACAAATTTTTATGTTTCAAACATTAAAAGTTAAGCCAGATTTCCCGAAGGGGTTTCAGGTAAGCCACATAGAATGCTTCATTTTTTCTTCAAAACATCATAAAATGATGCAGGCTGCTTCTTAGGCTTTGAACATAATTCCTGATAACACAAAATGATTGTTTTATGCAACTGAAGTACCAGTCCTAAAATATATAGCATTTTCCTTCTAGGTGAAGGAATCATACCTCTACTGCAGAAGCTAAACGCAAAATTGTTGCTTCCGCCCATGGACGACCGATTATTTGCAAACCTATAGGAAGCCCTTGTTTATCATAACCAACCTGAAAATCAAACACCAAAACTTGAGTAAACTAGAACATCTGCTTTAAAATAAAAAATTAGTGGTCGTGTCAAGTGGTTAGGAAAGGAGAAAAGTTTCAGTATTGCATTGGGAAACAGGAACTATAAGCATGGACATAGCAACCATAACATCCTTTTTAGCACATGCACTTCTTCTCCATCAACTAACCTACTGTCTCCTTCCTTTATAGGAATAAGTCCACTTGCATCTCCTCAAGTAAATCTGTTAACGCTTTAAATTTCTTCCTCCTCTTCCACCCCTCCCCCCTCCTCTTTCCCTCCTTTTTAAAGCAAGCTAAACCATAAAGATTTCACCATAGAGAAATGAACATTTTATCCACTAGAACTAGCATTTGTTGAACTTGGACAATCTGAACTTAGATCGGTTATTCAGTTGTTTCTTTAACATTGTATCTCTAGAGTAGCAGAAAGGAAATTTCTCTAACCACAAAAATGGTACTTGCAAGTTTTCGCAAGAGATTAGTTGCCAAGTCAAATGATAGATAGACATTAGGTGAGGCATGTGATGCTGAATATTTACAAGAAAGCTAACCATGACTTACAGGAACAGAAATGGCAGGAAGACCAAGAAGATTCGCTGCAACAACAAATCGCATGAGATAACCTGAAACCAAGGAAGAGAAACATAAGAATTGTATGACTTCTCAAAAGATGCCATAATAAAGTACCTGTAATGTACAATAATATTAAGAACATACACTTAACATACTAATGACGGAAGAATCAAACCGTTATCTGCCTATTTGGCTGAAGAGGATGTTGATATATCTGTCATTAGATTTTTATTCCATTTGTACATTGAATCTGGCTACCAGAATCATGTGTTTAAGGAAAATTTCCCGATTTCTTTCTGAGAAAAAACTATACCCAATGGAACTTGAACCAAATTCAGTTTCCTAGAATCTATCCATGGCATGGTTTCAGAAGCACAGAATTGAGGCTTGAAAGAAACCCAAGCCTCAAATTTATAGTCATCCTATCATAAAAAGCATCTGCACATCAGTATAGTGTACAAGCTTATGAAAGATGAGCACAAACCTGTAACCTGCATATCAGTCTCCCCATACTTAAGAGAGCTAGGAGGTATTTTGGGTGCTGTCATGCTGTCATTCACGCACAAATAAAAGAGAAAGGAAGAGGATAGCAAAATATTAGTTAAAACTTTACACTGAGATTCCTCTAATAACGATTAGAAGCAACTTTTTCCTATAAAATTGAATTTGAAGTAATAACTCAAATTTTCAAATGAGAAAAGCATTTTAGAAGAAAATTATATATATATATATATATATATAAGAAATTAGCTTTCCTAGAATACTATCCATGCATGGTTTGCAGAAGCACAGAATTGAGGCTTGAAAGACACCCAAGCCCCTCAAATTATAGCTCATTCACTATTTCATAAATAAGCATCTGCCACATCAGCTATCAGTGCTTTACAAGCTTATGAAAGATGCCAGCGCCCACAAACCTGTAACCTGCATATCACGTCTCCCCATTACGTATAAAGAGAGCCTAGGGAGGTATTTATTGCGCCTGCACTGTACATGCTGTCATTCACAGCACAAAATAAAAGAGAAAGCGAAGAGGATAGCAAAAGTCACTTAGTTAAAACTTTTACACTAGAGATTACCTCTTAATAACGATAGAAGCAACTTTATCCTATAAAATGATATTTGAAGTAATAACTCAAATTTTCAAATGAGAAAAGCGATTTTAGAAGAAAAATTATATTATATATATATATATATTAGTTAAGAAATTAATCTGTAATTGGCCAATAGAATCACATAAAGCACTAGATTATAATATATATATATATATAAGAAATTAATCTGTAATGGCCAATAAATCACATAAAGCACTAGATTTATAGTTGTATATCATATCATATCCATAAAATATGATTCACTTTCAAATGCCTCGGCAAGTGTCAATTTTTCAGGAAAAAAAAAAAAAAACTCATATTATAAGGAAAAACTATGAAAATTGTAATTAAAAGCAGTCTCTGTCAAGTTCAATCAATGTTGTCCCGGATTGTGATTTCATTAACAGGAGCACAGAAAACTCTGAAAACAGTCAAGATTACATTACCCAGTTGTTGGCGTGACTATGACATCAACTTTTTTAAAAATCTCCATGTGATGGTACATTACTCTTCGCCTGAAACAAAATGGATTTAATGAAAAAGAAAGAAATACATCCTACAACAGAAAATTACTTTTTAGCTGAGCATCTCCGAAATACATCCCTTTAAACAACAATAAGGATATGGTAACTTGATAATGTAAACAATTTTTTTCCTGAATGAATATCATAAACTACATTAACATAGAACTAACACTACCAAGTTTCCGATGTCACTTGTTTATCAAATGTATAACTATTCAATTCATTGAGTAAATCTTGAAATAAAACATACCAAATGGTTATTTGGAATTTCAAAACTATGGATTTGGTGACATCATGCACACCCTCATCTTTTGCAGACCATAACATAGAAATAAAATTATTTTCATTTTCCATAAGACCATCCGGGCAATTTAGATATGAGTTCCTCAGGTCCCCTTTTAAATCTCTCCTACCAATAATTGGTTAGGTCATCTTCATTCACAGATGAAAGAATATGTTACGGTCCCAAATTTGGATCTAGTTATGGGTCTTTGAATTAGGGGAATCGGGTTTGAGATGGGTATCTTAGAAGGAGTTTTCTTCCTTCTATGAGTTTTCTTCCTTCTATCAATGCGTGACAGACTTATGAGAGAATTCTGCCAATCTCCTAGAGGCCTATTAAGAAGAGCGAGAACTCTACAATCTCTGAGGCTTTTTAGGAACTCAAAACTTTTCATAAAATTTCTGCCCTTACATTTTTCCTGATATAACAGCCTTTTAAAACAAACTAAATGCTTAAAGGCTAAAACTACCCAAACTACCCAACTAATAAACTACCCATTACAATAAGCTTAACCACCCCACAAATAGCCACTAACAAAGGAAATCTGAACTGATAATAACATGATAAACACTGAATAACTAAATAAAAACACCCTAAATAGCAGTAAAACTACCCTAAGTCAAGCAGCGCCATAACATTACACCCCTTGAAAAAGTGCTTGTCCTCAAGCGCAAAGGATGGATGACATGCAATCTTCAACTTGTGAAAATGCGATGCAAACAAAATCCTTATCACCCTCTATTATTCTGCAAATAAGGAGCTGTTTATTGTGCTTCTATATTTAATTAATATTCCTGGATCAAATATCTCTTCTAATGTTTCCTCTATGTCATTCTCGAATTGCTTCTTCCCACGCCCTTCCCATTTAGAGGCTGTCAAATCACAAGCAAGACCCTCTAATTGTGCTAACAATTGATGTTTGATTATTTCTTTCTTTTGCTCCGCTCTATCTTCTGTACACACAACTATTGAGACTTGAAACATTTGCTGGAAAACTATTCGCTCTGCACCATTGCAAAACATTTGCCTGGGCAAAAACTATTCGCCTCTAAGCCGCAGTTTTTAGGCTTGTTCCAAATCTTGCCAACTTTCGTTTAAAATATATTACCCTCATAGCGTGGCTCCAAGAACCTCCAACTCTTGTGAATCTTCGACCTAACAGTTGTAGCTGCACCCTTAAGGAGATTACTAGACAGGCTGAACCTATTGGACCCTTTGGCTTTTTAAGGTGCTTGACGTTCAGCCAAGTGAAGAAGTCCAGCCCCTTCTTAATGGATTCCAAGTCAAAAGACATGGCATAACCAATTTTAGCCGCATAGAAGTTGTTCAACCTTACATCGATTATATGGTTGAATTGCGCCATGCTGCCTCAGAGATAAGCAGTAAATTTGAAGGAGCTTTTTGGTAAGCTGGTCTTTGCAAACAGATTTCGCCCATAACATGTTGCTGCGCTCTGCATACCAATTGGTTATCAGCGTCCCAAATTTGGATTCTAGTTATGGGTCTTTGAATTAGGAATCGGGTTTGCAGCAATGGTGTATCTTAGAAGGAGCTTTTCATCTCCTTCTATCAAATGGTGACAAACTTAGCAGAGAATCGCCAAGTCTCTCTAGGAGCTCATTCAAGCAGAAACTCTACAATCTTCTGAGTTTTAGCGCAAACTTCAAAACCTTATTCATAAAATTCTGCTTACATTTTTCCTGAATAACAGCCTTTTAAAACAACCTAAAATGTAAAGCACTACAAACTACCAACTACCCAACTAATTAAAACTTACCCATTACAATAAGTTACTTGCCTTAAATCCACCCACTAATAGCCACTAAACCAAAGGAACTGAAAAAACATGATAAAAAACTAGAATAACTAAATTAAAAACACCAGTAAAAATAGCAGGTAAAACTACCCTAAGTCAAGCAGCCGCCATAACAGAATATCAATGGAGTGGCCACTAACAAAGAAACTGAAAATAACATGATAAAAAACTGAATAACTAAATAAAAACACCGTAAATAGCAGTAAAACTACCCTAAGTCAAGCAGCGCCATAACAGAATATCAATGGAGTGAAAACAAACTAAAACACCCCAATTACATCAGGCACAAATACTTTGAATCATCATTTATTTGTGAATTCTACAGGTGAAAACAAACAATATGAGAAAACGAAAGGTAGACACCCTGTATGTAAAGCAAATTCATCATTTATGTGGGCAAGCAATTCTCGATTCCAATTCAAAATTAAGACCTTTCTGGGAATATATGAATACCAACGTAATATGCCTGCATCCTGGACAAGCTTTGCAATTTAAGCTATCAGTCCAAGCGGTCCTATTATGTGATTCAGGAACCATCATTTGTCACAAAGCAAATTTAATTCCCGTTCACTCAACAAATTTGGTTAATGTTCTTAATTTGACATCTAATTCTCTTTGATGTAGTGGTCTAGAGTTTGAGTCTATTCTTTCAAGAATACCATAGATACTGAAGAGTTTGTATTTATCCTACCACTTATATCAGAATTGGTTCCATGTGTTGATACTATTTTCAAACTAATCAAGAAAAGGAATTTTTTTTTTTTTTTTTCAATGGCTTGGAACGCTAACATGCCCAGGAAAAGAGAGTCATTCCAAACAAGTAAGCAAAAGGGTTTACATGTTCTAATAAGATTCCACTAATTACATAAAACTTCTGATAAATGTAAGTCCTTTAGAAACTTAAAGCTATAAAAAGAAAATTTCAATCATATGAACAGCCTGTGCTTTTCAAAACTCTATTAAACAACAACAATAACCAAGCCTTAGTCCCAAACTAGTTGGAATCGGCTATATGAATCCTTTGTTTCAAATATCCACTCTGATCAGGTAAAAAACAATGCAAAGCAAATTATAGGTCAGAAAAAAAAATTGAAATACTTTTTGTAAACAATTTTGGAAAGGAATTTTAAAATCATTTGATATATTCAAAACTCTATTGCAAATGAAAATTATAAACATATACTTAGGTTATCTAGTCTCACCTAAGACACTGTGCAGCGACATAATCTGCTGCACTGAATGATCGAAACAGTACAACACTAGTACGTGTATCATATGTCAACCTCTCACCTTTCCTGCAAAGGGATAAGAAAGAACATGACATAATTCAATATTCATTTCATCAATAAACCAATGATAATAACAATCTTAAGTAGTATTCACAGAAGATGATAAGATAGTGTTAGACAGTAGTCTTGATCTATTTATGTACTACTCCCCAAAAAAAGGGAAGGAAACATACCCATCCTCAATGTCATGGTTTAATGAGCATAGCGTTTCAGATCCAATTGAAACAAGATGAGCAGCGCGCATCTCTTCAAGCTCAGGTACAACAATTTCTACCATCTTTAATCATATGAGGTTAATTTTTCAGTCAGTATAACAAGAGATGCTAATTTGGACACCTTATTTTATTAAAGAACGAAACAAATTGTAAAACAGTAATGAAGCACATTGTGGTTGAGGAAGACTTACTTCACACCCATGTGTTTTACACAGAAGGTTAAGGATATCCTCACATTTATCAGAGACATCAGTTGAGTGTACGTCATTGAACCACTGCAGGATATTTATCATTTCTTAAAAGTTATAACTTAATTACTAAAATGGTGACTTTGATTGACATTTGGTAGTAAAAAAGGGGTGATTACCGGAGAATACTTTCCTAGTCGCAATGATCCCAAAACATCTGTACTTTCATATGATGACAAATTAGGCAAACAAGGAAGAGACTACACAAAAAAAATGTAAAAAAAATATAAGGATAGCCAGAAAAATAAAACCTAACAAGTCGCAAGAACTCATGACCTAACTAGCTTAGAATGTCTAAATATGCCAAAACAAAAAAAGAAGATTCAAGTACAACTATAGTTGCAACTAGATAATTGGAAATATCAGATCCCATTACGAGCAATAGTAAATTTGTATTATTCACTTGAAAAAAAACCCTTAATGCTAACAAAAGACTAAATTATCAGAGTGGCCAATTAACTCAAGCTTCCAAAAGATAAGAGAGAAAATTTTTGTATTAATTTGTAATTGTTTTACATAAATGACAAAGTTTGTGAAGTTACCGAGTGCAGGCTGATTCTATCTGCTGGAGAAGAGCCCAACATTGCAGCATACCTAAAGAATTAACAGGATGCAAAGTGACCAACATTTTATACAAAGTAATTACTGAAACTCAAGTATTCAATCTGTCATCGAGGAAGACATTCTACGGCTCTTAAGCATTAACTAATACATGGACCTCATGACCCGCAAATCACAAATGACAACAAAGTGCAACTATGTTGCTTTTCTCTTTCTCCTTGTCTTTTGTTTAGGAGAGGAGGGATGAGAGTGGGGCCCATAACCATCCTCTAGTGAAGCATGACATAGTGAACAAGATCAGAAATTGCTCCATTTAAAAAATACAGTGACCATCAATGGAAGCACATTGTCAAATTTTCATGACAGTGATACCAGTTCCAATAGAACCTAGACCTGTGCTGTAACTTCTAATAAAGATTTTGGTAGCTGCTATAACAAGCTTGAAATACTTACACTAGCATCACATCCTCCACTGAAGATGCAATTGGTCCAATAATTTCAACAGTCCCAGAATCGCAAATTGAACTATGTCAAGATGGCACCAAGAAAAAGAGTAGTATAAGAAATTGCTACAGCCTAAAAACTATAGCTTGAGAATAAAAAGTTTCAGAATAGAAATGTAAGCGGTAAGCATGAAAATTCAGTACTAATTAACAATCTTACCCTCCCATATCTGTCCGTCCATAAGTTGTTTTCAAGCCAACTACACCACAAAGGGAAGAAGGTATCCTGACTGAACCTGTCTTTTCACCATTAAATTAACATAAAAAATTAATATATCACATGCAATAACCTATGAGTTGGACATAAAATATTAAACTTGAACAACCTCCACCATCTGTTCCCAAGGCAGCAGAACATAGTCCAGAAGCTACAATTGCTGCTGGGCCTGATGAAGATCCACCTGTGTACCTTTCCATGTCATGAGGGTTTCTTGTTGTTCTGCAATTAAATGTGACTGTTTAAGGACTAAAACAAGAAAAATATATATCATAATAGTCATGCAGTAAAGCTAAGTATATATGTGCTCATCGCTTTTCCATTGTCATCCTTGAAGGGTTCTTGTTGTCTGCCCAATTAAATTGTGTAGTGACTTGTTTAAGGCACTAAAACAAGAAAAAATAATTTCTATTCATAATAGCTCACTGCACGTTACAATATAGCTAAAAGTATTATAATATAGGCTAATAATATATATATATATTATATGAAGCCACAGGGGGATCCCACAATGATTGTCTGTATGACATGAATGATCGAGTTTAAAATGCAACCACTGTTATATAAGCAGGATCCACAATGATGTCTTGTTGACATTAATATCGATGTTTTAATAACCACTATCCCATAGTTGGTCCAATGCAATTAACTGACCCATAATTTGGATTGTTACCAGTCGTCCCCATGCCTAGCTCATGCATATTTGCCTTTCCAACAAATATGACACCACAGCTACGCAATCTAGAAACACAAACTGCATCCCTTTTGACAGAACGAACTTCATGCATCCATGTTGTTGCACCTGTTATCATAACGTAGTAGTTTTAACTTTCAAGGCTGTAAGCTTTCGCTATTAACATCCTAAAGAAAACAGGAAGAAAATGAAAAACATGCACCTTTAGATGGATGAGGATAGCAATCTATGTCATCCTTTATTGCCATGAAAATGCCATCCAAAATAGATATTGGATTTCCTGCACCATCACATCAGCTAATCTCAGAAGGTGATTATTGCTGTTTGTCTCTACTATAGATTATCCATAAATTAAAATATATCATCAAATATCATTCAACAATACCTTCCTCAAACCTCTGCGTAGAAGCAGCAGCTTGCTTCCTGACTTCCTCCGCATCAAAAGAAATCAACAAAGGTGTAGGAGGCTTCTTCTTTTTAAATTCTTCTATAACTGAGATGATGTTCTCTGCAACCTACAAGGTAAATGCAAGATCTTTCCCCTGTAAATTAATAGAAAAAGAAACTGACCCTCTAGACAGTAATGGTGACTTACCATGGATGGAGTTACAAGCTTATGTCGATAAGCATGAGCGTAATCACGTATCTTCCAGTACCTGAATGATGGAGCTGAGTCCCCATTCCAGTAACTAGCAGGATCATAATGAGGAAGACACTTCAAGGCTGTTTCTATCCTATCTTCTGGTCTTCCATCATCATCCACAACAATAACACCAGTTTCTGGTTCTGAACTCACAATATACTTACCAAGTCAGCTCCATGTATTAGAACTTTAACTAATAAGGCATGAGTTTATTCAATTTTCCAATGGTGTAATAGTAAAACATTCCACTTTTCCAATACAATTATTAGTTCCATTCCAAGACTCTTTATTGGTCTTGAAATCTTTTAGCAGAAACGAAGAAATTTGCTTGATAATGTTTGAAAATGGCCTTCTTTCGAAGTCTTTATACATTATTTCCCATTTCCTCCCTCCAAGTATCAAAGTAAGATGGCATGCCTGAAAGCATATTTCCATGTATTTGTGTTTGTGTTTCACTTATCTATAGCACAAATTAAGAGAGAAGAATAAGAACAAACCTTGAGGAGGAAATTCAGGTTTAAACATAGGAGCTTCTGGTATCCGAGTGTTTCGCAACATCTGATAGGAATAATTATCAAAAGCATTCTTAGTCAAAACCATCTGTATCATGGCATACAAAATAATGATCCCAACAAAAAAAAAAAAATGAAAGAGAAGAACTCAAAATGAAATTTAAAAAAATAACTGTTCAGTGCAAATGAATCTAAAAGTGTAGAGTTCATTATAAATGATTGAATTTGGTATCCTTATGTTGAATTTCTTAAAATTGAATGTATGAGAGTGAAATTAACATTTTCATTCACAACAAACGTGAAATTCCACACAGAAATCCTACCTCATCCATCTTGTTCTGCTTCCTTAAGTGAGAAATTATCAGAGGACCTATTACTGGAGCCTCAAGTATCTTTACAAACAACTTAAATCCCAATCCAGTCAAATGTGGAGCTATATGTCAAACAAAAAAATAATCAAAATCCAATCTTTTCTCATCTCTCCTTATAATCCTATAATTCACTACAGAAACTTAACACAGTATTATTCATGTACATAAATATAAAAGCATATATAGATCAAGAAAACAACCTTGGATAACATCAGGCTTATACTTGACAGCAGACAAGTCCACCTCCTCAGCAGGCACCATTACACGAGTCTTTCCCATTCTTTAACCCAAAAAAAAAAATTAAGAGACAAACCAAGCAAGCAAATTATCAAACACTTTAGCAACGTGACTAAATGAACATCAATATAAACCGGTGTTTCTGCTAAGAAAAGACCAAAAAGATTGACAATTTTGAGAGAAACTTGGAAATTTTCACAAACCTGAAGACTGGCAGAGAGAGACAAAGAGAGTGTCTGTGTTGGAGATAGAGAAAGATACTGAAAAATGTTGAATTATGATTGTATAGAGAGAAAGAGATAGGCGTTAAATTCCAAGAGAGAAGAGTGTCAATGTGGTAGTTGATAGCTATTTGTTTGTTGGTTGTGACGAATATAATGTTTGCGTTTTAATTGGCCATTTATGATTCGCTTCTTGCCCACTCTAATTACGCTGTAATGCTGTAAGGGGAAAGCTTACCTAAATCGCTTAATCGCGAAATTTATGGATAAAATAATAAAACTAAAAATTTTTATTAAAATAAGATTATTTTTAATTATACATTTAGAAAAAAAAGTCTGAAATACTTTTTATAAAATATTTAATTTCATTAATTTACTCCATAAATAAAGTCATGAACCTGATTTAGACAAATTTTTTGATAAAATTTAAATTGATTCAAAATCGCTGATTTTTTTAAAAAAAAAATTGCATATTTCTCTCAATATACTTTCTAGGAAGTACAAAATTTCAAAAAAAAATATAATTTGAATATATTTAATATGCAGGATAACTTTTTGGACCAGTAATAATATTCATAATGCAAATTCAAGTATATTTAGATAATATGTTCGGTCCATCAAATTAATAAATTACATCATGGGTTCAATTCTACCATTTTAGAAAAGGGACAAGTCTCACCTCATACAATTTCAAATTTTTAGTAATGATAAAATTTAAACGGCTTAATTTTATTCAAAAACTTTTAAACCCATAAATTTTATTAAACTTTTTTGTTTGCAAATAATATCATTAAATATAAAAGAAATTAGGAGTTAAAAGCTTTATTTATGCATGTTTTGTGTAATTGGAACAGAAAAATAATAATCATTCAATTTATATCTCAAAATATTCAAAAATAATAATCATTAATAATTAATTTAGTTTTAGGAGACTATAATATCATATTTATGGTAATTTCCAAATGGAATGGACAGAGCAGTTAGGCAAAATAGGTGAGCTAAATGCTTAGCTCATCCATTGTTTCATTTCCTTTCTTTGACTTGAAGGTGGAAGATAAGGCTTACACCTTCAATGCTTCTAGACAAACCCAAGACCATATTCCAATGCTTCTAGACAAACCAAGACCATATTTTAGTACTACTTCTATTGCGTATATATGGTCTTTGGGTTTGTCTAGAAGCATTGAAGGTGTAAAGCCTTATCTTCACCTTCAAGTCAAAAGAAGGAAATGAAACAATGGATTGAGCTAAGCAAATTTAGCTCACCTATATATAATATATATATATATATATATATATATATATATATATATAGTATATATATATATATATATATAATATATATCAATTGATTCAATTTTTCCCCCTTAAAGGCCAATACAACATAATAACTAATACTTAATTTAAATTAGAAGGTAACTAATCTCTATATCAATTGATTCAATTTTTCCCCTTAAGCCAATACACATAATAACTAATACTTAATTAAATTAGAAGGTACTAATCTCTAATTTAATTAGTAATTAGTTTTCTATATTCTTTTATTAGGTTTGCTATCTCCATCCTATTTATTTTCATAGTGATGGAAATGTTTGAAAGAAAGCTTCAAAGTTATGCAACTCTCTCATTAATGGTGACTATAATGTTGAAAAGTCTCATTTTTGTTTAAAATTTATGTATATCATATGAAATTATTTCATTTATATTTGGAAAATAACATATAATCAATTACACTTTCTACTTAATTAAATAGTTGAATGTACTGAAAACTCATTAAGGGTTTAGCTTTTGAGTTTCAGAGTATTAGTACAAATATTTTAGGATACTCGTTCAGCTCCGATTCATTTAAAGTGACGATTATAAATTGGTTTAGAATGGATATGAGTAGTGATATTATTACCCTTAACGGATCCAAATATGATATATGTATAGATTTCTAGATAACCGCTGTATTAAATATGTATGGTCATTGATGCCTGTTGATATAAATTCGGATTTGGATAGTTTGATTTTCGTGACCGGAATGAAGATGACTTGCCAATTTTTACAATCATCAACCAACTAAACATGAGGTCTTTAATATTTATGGGCCACAAAGCCCAAATTCAATCAACAAATCGTAGCCCATAAAGAACACTCACAAAATGGTTAGCAAGATCCGCTGTCAGAACATCTTAATGCTAAGAAAAAAGAAAAGGAGCTCAAAGGGAAAATATGAACATTTTCCTACAGAAAAAGGATTGAAGAAGAAATGGATTACAATGCTTTTGATTGAGCATGTTTTGTTCCATATATTATGAAAAGAATGGCAGTGTCAATTATTGCAGAACTAACTTAACTGTGACCAAGTTGGCAGTTGAAATAACCCAAAGAAAACAAAAGGAAATGAAATAATAAAATAAAATAAAAATAAAAGACCCTTTTTAATATTTACTCTAAAGAATTGGGAACTCAGCTCATCATTCATTTTCTTCCAATCTTGTATTATCCTTTGAAAAGCATTTCTTACTCTACTTAGATTTATCAAATTAATTATTGTTCTGAATTGTTTAATTTTATAAAATTCATTCGAAAATTTATTTATTTTTATATAGAATTTAGTTTCATTTAATACAAATTTTTAAATTTATAAATGAATTTCATTAAATTTTGTGAAATTTATTTATTTTAAATAAGGGGTTAAATTAATTTCTCTTGAAATAAAAAGAAAACAACATTTGTAATTAATACAATACAACGAAATTGATTGATTCAGCACAAAAAGTCCAAGAAATGTCAGTATTGGGTCATACATACATAAAAGACCAGCACGCATTTATATGAACCTGTCCAAACTTCAAAGCCAGCTTACTCAGTCAATAATGTGATTTTAAAATATAATTTTAGACCACCCAGTCTTCACGGCATGTAGTTTGCTTTTTTTATATATATATATATAATATTAATAAAAGAAAAATAATTACAGGAAGAATGAACATAATAGTAAGTCAAAAAATAATCTTGCGCCAATAAGACGGTGGACCTCAGTTTCTGTAAAGGCGAAAAGTAAGTTTAATTATTGAAAAATCGGAGAATCAAAATTTATACGCTTTATTATTCAAAAGGATTAAATCTCCTGGTTATAAAAAATAAAAAATAATAAAAAAAAATGAATCTTGTTGTTTTCTGATTGTTGATGGATAATCATAATTCATAGTCAAACATTGGTTAATTAAGAAGTGATTAAAGACTTTAAAGAACATTTTTAAGTAAGCTTTATAGTTTATGTAGTTGTGATTATGCTAATTCCAGGTAATAATCCAACTGTTTTAATTCATAATTTACAATTTCCCATGTTATTTATCACCTTATAATACCTTATTAAGGCTCTTGGAAGTGTAAAACTTGATAAATAATGGAAACCTAAGTAGATTTGCAGCTTTCTGTACTTGGCAACCTTAATTAAAAATAATTGGGTGGCAAAAGCTGTATACTTACTTTGCTGGATTTGCAACTATTTGCACTTACCATGTGCCAAATGTGAAAAAATCACTAATTTAATTTTTCTATTGGGTTAATGGTTAACTAATAATATATGCATATATATAATTAAAATTGTTATGAAGTTGGAATATATAATTTTTTTAAAAAATATAATTAAAATGCAGTTGGAAATAATAAATATTATTAATTTTATGATTGAAATAAAAATATGCATTTTTTTTTTGTTTATACATTTGTTTTGCATAATTTTATGAAGTATTTCATGATTTACATAAGGAAAAAAAGAAAGTATTATTGATAAATATGTTTTTAATTTAAAAATAATAATAATACTAGTAATATTTTTATTGTTAATATATGATTATTAATGCAATAATGCATTAGAAAAAGTGAAAATGGTTGATAAATTATGTCGTTTGAGAATGGGGACCTCAATAACTTATGATCATTTTGGATTTAGGAATATGACTGCTTAATTTGCTGTCAGTCCTAGTCATTGATTGTCGTTTTGCATAATTGAAATGGAAGGTCAGTACAAAATCTAGTACATGTTCAAACTACACTAGTTTTCGTGCTATAATATTCTATTTAAGATGGTAAATGTATTTAACAGAAATGTTAGTTAAAGTTAGTTGTTAAATTTAAAAGAGATTTTCAAAAACGCTTTTTTTTTACCTCAAAAAAGACGCTTTTTTTATTGGTCAATAATAGTGTGTGTGTATATATATATATATATATAATGTCAAGAGAGTAAATTATAGGAGAGAGACAAAAGTTATTGATTTCTGAATAATAGTTTGGATATTCCCACGTTATGCAACGCGGGCGTGTCATGTGAATTATGATGTCTGAATTACGTTTCCTTATTTCACCCTATTTAACTAACTTTACTTGTTCATTTTAACCCTTCCCATCATCATTTTTCTCCCTATAGACAATCCCCATGATTATAATTTGGAAAATTACCAAGGGTCGCCTGGTAAATTACTGGTGACATGTCATTTGGCCAGGAATATTTTACCTATTATAATTTTCTTCCCATTTTTTTGGGTTTATTTTTATTGATGGAATTTTAATATGAAATCTTTTGTTAATTAAATACGTAAATTCTTATAGTATTCAGATTTGAAACTTTTATTCTTTTAATTTTTAAAATAAATGAAAGATTAATTAAACCATATGGAAACCATAGATAAGACCGAGTAAAGAAATAAGCATAAATTTAAATACTAAAATATAAATTAATGATAAATACACATATGTTCTGATAATAAAATCAGTTTCAAAATATTAAAGAAAAGAAAAAAAATAAATTAAGCGCGTAAAAATAATTTCTTAAACACTTGATATGTAAAATCCATTTGACTTTTTGTGCTTTGCACGTTTTGTCAACTAGAAAGTTGATATTTCAATTGGGATAAATTAATGATAAATACACATACGTTTTGATAATAAAATTAATTTCAAAATATTAAAGAAAAAAAAACAAATAAAATTAAGCGCGTAAAAATAATTTCTTAAACACGTGATATGTAAAATCCATTTGGCCTTTTGTGCTTTGCACGTTTTGTCAACTAGAAAGTTGATATTTCAATTGGGACCAATTGAGCCTCTCATTCTAATTTTGGTCAATTAATACGAGTCCCACAAAATAATGACACAATTAATAAT